TCCCTCTGAACACTACTGTGATGGCAAAAGTAGTTTCTATGGGTTAAGCTCCCCTAATCAGAAGACCAAGTAGAATAAATACAGATATACACACACACACACATACACACATATTTGTAATCAGAAGACCAGGCAGATTGAATACACACGCATATATTATATATACAATGTATTATATAACTATCACCTATGTTTTCACAGGCTAAAAACCTAAAGAGATTAAAATTATCCTCATAAATAGTTATAAAATCAACATTTCCTAGGTGGTGCTTATACCTCAAGGGTCTGTAACAAAACTCTGAAAGAGGCCAATGTAGCCAAGGGTGTCTCCTTCAGAGATTGTGTGAATGGCAAACAGAATAACTTTTCCCCACTTGTGTATGATACAGCTAGTGTCCCTCACCACTCAGGAGTCCCACTCCCTTCCAGGTATTGGCCTCATGGCTTCCTTGACCACAAGTTACAGTTTTGCCTGTCCCAAGGCCTGGATCACATTTGGTTATTCAGCATGCTGTTACTGTCCCTGTATGGGCTGCCTTGAACTTAGAAGGCCACGTAGAACTTTAGTGAAATTCTTTTTCCATACATTTTGTGGCCATCTCCCCTCTTAAGAGCTTTAACACAAGTCTCTGGTATGGGTAGGGCAGGGAGAAAGTGGAGCAAGAAAACCACAGAAGCAAGATCTCTCACTCTGACTCACTCTCCTGGGACCTGACTTGTGCTCTTAGAAACTCTCCCCGCTATCATGGATTTTTTTTTGTCTCTTGTACGTGACCAAACACATCTGAATTTTCTGGGGAACCAGGCTTAGGTTCAAAACTTGAAATACTCTCCCCCGTTACCTATTTTTAAATGTATTTTTCTAATATATGATGATGAGAAAGGGAAATACCTCTATATTGATGCAATTTTACCACCGAGACACTGTATTCTGCTCTAAGGTCACATATCAACTGTAACGCCAAATGCCAAGCCCAGCTGATTAAGAAAATTGATAAACACAATGCAAAACAATCCTTTATTTCTCTACAGTCATGCAGTCAAAAGAGGTGATATCCCACTTTGCAAATAACTTCAAGTTCCAAGAAGAGTACTGTTAGTAATTTATGCCTATGGATGTATCTACTTATAGCAAAATAGCTCCTGTTTTGCATCTCTTATGTTGTGCTTTAAAATCCTAGCACTCATTCAATTCAGTCTTTTATTTCTTCCTGCATTCATTTACAGAAAATTTTAAAAATATGTCTACTATGGTGTGAGTACTTCTTTGTGCTAAGCTAGTTTCTCCAGAAATACAAATGATCACCATGCAGTATCTTTAACTAGCACAGTTTAATTTATCAATCTGCAGTCCCTCACAGAGAGTGAGGTCCTACAGCAAAGAGTAGGTTTTGATGTGACTGTTGGAAATAGGGCTTTTACTAGACACAGATTGCTTTCTGCGTGGGGTACTACATGGAGGGATTGTGGTTAAATAAAGAATACCAAAAGCATATGAGAGATGCTGTATGCAGGGAAGAAGGTGGTACGTGGTAAGAAAAGGGAAGAAAAGGTGTAAGATGAGCTTGCCAAGACCACAGTGGAGAGACATAGAGTTGAATGCCTCTGAGGCCAGGATAAGGTGACCAACCATCTCCATTTATCTGGCACTGGAGAGTGTCCTTGGATGTGGGAGGTTTAGTGCTCAAACAAGGATAGTTGCTCATTCTAACCCTAAACCAAGTAGAAACCACCAAATACTAGTTGGGGTTGTGACAATCGGTACAAAGATATAGGAAGCTTATGAAGTATATGTACAAAGCAAGGACTAGAAGATTCTCATTGGATATCAGGGGTTTTTTGTTTTTTTTTAAATGAAAGCTTATTTATTTATTTATTTATTTATTTTTGGCTGTGTTGGGTCTTCGTTTCCGTGCGAGGGCTTTCTCTAGTTGCGGCGAGCGGGGGCCATTCTTCATCACGGTGCGTGGGCCTCTCACTATCGTGGCCTCTCTTGTTGTGGAGCACAGGCTCCAGACGCGCAGGCTCAGTAGTTGTGGCTCACATGCCTAGCTCCGCGGCATGTGGGATCTTCCTGGACCAGGGCTCAAACCCACGTCCCCTGCATTGGCAGGCGGACTCTCAACCACTGCGCCACCAGGGAAGCCCTGGATATCAGTTTTATTTCTACTTTCTTATTAGGACCATCCAAAAAGTCACTTAGCTCTTAGAACTCTTTGTACTGCTTGAAAATAACTCATCCCCTAAATTCACTTGATGATTCAAAAAATGGTTCTTTAAGGAAAAATATCATGGCTCATTAACTCACAAAATTAGTTGAAAGGGCTCCAGACACCCTTATAATGCAGGGAAATTTACTTTTTTCTATTATTCAAAGTATTGCCTTTTAGCTCAAATAGCTAAAACTTTGTCCATTATTGTGATTTATCAAAAATGCTCATATTACACTCTTTTAATGGAATAAAATATATTCTAAGATCACTCATTTACTTTTGCTTACTTATCACTTCAAGCATTAAGAAATGTAATTAATATTTATGTCGGGCCACACAGTTAAAAAATGTATTAAGGTATTTCATTTTATTTATATATCAAAAAAGGTTTTTTGTTTTTTCAGGAAAAACTTAATTTAATATCATCCAAGTAAATCTCATTGTGTCTTTTATCAAAGACTTCACATTCAGCTTAATTTTATTGTCCACATGTGGGCTTCAAATTGCTTTGTATTTATAAAAAACTACTTTTTTCTAAATACAAAGTATTGATGTCACCTTTTTACAAATTAATTTTCGTAAGGTAATTTAGCGAATTAAATACTCTTAAGTATCGCTATTATTGACAGTTTTAAGATGTCTGATAACTAACTATAAGCAGTGCCTAAAGTTTAAGGAACAGGCAGAAAGAGTTGTTATGCAAATAGTCATATTCATTGTGTAATAAGGAGTGAAGAGCTTCCCTGACACCCTCAGCTGACAAGATTATCTTTTTTTTTTAATAGATCTTTATTGGAGTATAATTGCTTCACAATGCTGTTGTTAGTTTCTGTTGTAGAACAAAGTGAATCAATCATATGCGTACCAAAGAAGACATACAGATGGCCAAGAGGCACATGAAAAGATGCTCAGCATCACTAATTATTAGAGGAATGCAAATCAAAACTACAATGAGCTATCACCTCACACCCCTCAGAATGGCCATTATCAAAAAATCTAGAAACAATAAATGCTGGAGAGGGTGTGGAGAAAAGGGAACCCTCTTGCACTGTTGGTGGGAATGTAAATTGATACAGCCACTATGGAGAACAGTATGGAGTTTCCTTAAAAAACTAAAAATAGAACTGCCATATGACCCAGCAATCCCACTACTGGGCATATACCCTGAGAAAACCATCATTCAAAAAGAGTCATGTACCACAATGTTCATTGCAGCACTATTTACAATAGCCAGATGTGGAAGATTATATCTTAAAGCGTGAGATCTGCCCATTTTTACTCTCTCCTCCGTCTGTATATGTTCATTGTTATGGAATGCTCCAGCCATTCAGCTATGGAACCTAAATTCCTATGGGGCTTGCTACGGTGATGAATGATTCATGATAACTTAAAGACATGAGATTTAGCTTTAAAAACATTCTTTTTATTGAATCATTAATAATTGTGATTATCTAGTTTTCACATAAACCAATGTCCCCAAATAGAACCATTTGACTTGAACTTACTGAGTAACTTGGTCCAAAGAAAGGCCAAGTTATTTGGTCAAAAGAAAGGCCAGAATAGAAAGGAAGAGGCACAGTGGCATCCTTATCACTGTATATATTCGAGGTGAATTTTTATTGATCGCTGGGAGTCAAAACCAGTTTTTAAAAAATAGGAGGGAAATATGTGGAAGAACTTTGTGGACCAGGAGAAGACAGTGACCTCTCTCTACTACCAAGTAATGTCAGGTGTTTGATTGATTATTGATGATACTCATCTTGAAGCCACGGAGAAAGCTTGTGAAAAATGCATTTGCTAGTCCA